ATACTACGGTGGAGGGTGCAGCTGAAATTAAAAGTCGTGATAGTTAGGGAATGACTGCTCGCCTTAAAATTTTACAGTACGAAGCCGAACGAGTTACATGTAATAAAATTATAGACTTTTTATAAATTTTAGTGCAAAATAAATGACAATAAAAAAATTACGAATAGTATGCCAATATCATTAAATCGATACATAGAAAATTAAAATTAACACAATCACTTAATTTATTCTAATGCCTCTTCTAAAAGCTTTTAAGTCTTTTAAGCAGGTGCGCTAGCGTCACCTTTGAGAAAAAATGGCGGCGCGCGGGAGAGTGCCCCTTCACGTGTCACGATCGATTTTTTATCAAACGAAAATTGTAACCTTAGGGTCTGCACAGACTGCTACTCACGAAATTATTAAATAGTAATTACAATTTGGTGATGGTATAAAAGTCCATACAAAGCCATGCATGAGAATCTTTGTGGTCATGAGAAATTTTTGGAGGGGGAGGATTGTAATTCCCGCCAACAATATAAAAATAATTACGCTTATAAAATAATTGATAACTAAACAATTAGGTGTGGTGATGTCATCATGAATTGTCTCTTTTTTATGGAATAAAGCACAGTCCGTCTGATGGTAAGTGGGTGCTGTGGCCTGTACCTTCGATTAAAACTCAAAATATAGAAGGCTTTGTTACACCGAGGGAATGCCACGTTATCATTCGATCATTCTAATACACATTATACGAAACACAGCGGCAATAAAACGAATGGCGGAAACAGAAGCCATAAGATATTTTTTTACACAAGTAAGAGTGACAAACGAGCACACAGTAGGTACATCAAATTATAATTGAATGATGTGACCTATTAACACCTAAATATAACCTCGATTAAGATGCTCAAGGCAGGTGCATTGTCATCTTTGAAGAATAAAATGGATTTATCTGTCAAAAAGGTCTTCGATTTCCGTTACGAAACACAATAGCATTATGCTGTTATTTCAGTCTGGTTTTATGTAAGAGTGTGGTCCTTTGGTCCAGACGACCATTTGTGCTGCAACTATAATATATATAGCTGCATCGTGGCTCTTTCACTTAACGTACTTTTTTGTTTTTTTCCTTTATTGCTGTAAGAGGCAATTATGGAAAATATTTAAGAGTGATATACATAGCTTACGACACATGGCGTTATAATCATATCGTTTACGGTACATTTCAAATACCAGGCCAGTATCCGGAGACAGCATTACTCCTACCATCAATTCGCTGTCAAACGTAGTTTTTTAAGGCAAATGCTCCTTACTCATCTTAACCATCCTTGACTCATGTTCACCGGTAGACTTTGGCGGGCTGGTGAAAAACATATTCAAATATAACTCGCCCTTATACGTAAAGATGCTCGAACGGAATATAAATTGTCGATTTTGTTTACCTCAGTATATTTTTGTAAGTTATCGTGACTTTGTAATGCGTCCGTCTATTGTGCGGCTGTTGTGTAATTATAATACGGAATAATTGTGTAATGAACAACCACTGTGGTATTAATGTACCGATAGAGGTCGTTTTAAGGAATTTGCCAGGTGAAAGTCTTCTTGTGTTTTTTTTAAATTGTTATTTTGAGATCTTAGCTAGATCGTCAGCTGTTGTTCTTTACCCTGTTTTGGCATTGTGTAACTTTTTTATTCCCTAAGTTAAAAATAAGCTAAAATGGATACAATTTTCATTGTGCTAGCAAACGTTGAACTAGGCCGACTAGAAGCAGTGTTTTCAAAATTGTTTCACACTCATAAAACTTTGTTCACATGCTGGTGGAGATTTCTGTCAAAAGATTCAAATGATAAATCCTATTTTTAGTTTCGCAAAACTTTCTGAATGGCACACGTAAACGTATATATGCATAGTTGGTTGTTTTTTTTTCATTTATATTATTGTTATTGTCTTTGTAAGTCTGTATTAGAAATATAATAATTATGTTTCTAATACAGAGAACACTTACTCTCTACTGAGAGGTTTCTATACGTATCGTTTCCGTTATTTTCAAGTTGTTATGGTAACAAATTTTCGTCAAACGAAGTAGGTTCCCAGTCTTATGAGGGCCAATAATTTCACACTCACTAGACCTCGATAGTTTGGACTAAGGTGAACTTATTTGTTATGCAGATACTCATATAGTGTCCTCATCATTAAAAAAGTTGCTATTTAATTACATACACAAAGCAATGCCTCAGTGCTGCATTTTTTAATTCTTATACATTTTTAGGAATATCCGTGGTTTAGTTTATCCGTTTCTAAAATTATTAATATAAAATATGTTTCTTTCTCAAATAACCTTCGGAAAACAAGACCAGGATCAGGCTGGTGTGTTGGATAACAGCAGGAATAGAGGGCAACCTTTTGGAAATAAAACTTTTTCCTAATTTAGATCTAGATAATCTACATTAGAATGTCGGCTGATTTTAAAGCCATGATCACTACACTAGAAAAGATTATTTTCAAATAGTAAGTGCAATTTTACAATTCATTAAATCATTAATTAGAGAACATAGGTATCCCTCCTAAATTTTGCCTTAGGGTTTTTTTTTATAGAATAAGTGTGACAAACGAGCACACTTTCCACCTGGTGGTAAGTGGATGCTGTAGCCCATAGACTATATTTGATTTCGATTAAGAATCAATATGCAGGTGCATTGTCACCCTTGAGAACTAAGGTAGGATGCTTCGTTTCCAATTAAAAGGGTCTCCGGTTTTCTACACTCACCATACGAAACACAGTAGCATTCGGCTGCTATTTTACGCTGGTATACTGTGAGAACGTGGTCCTTCCTCGGCCGAGCGGACCCATTCGTGCTACAACTACAATATAGGTGCGGCGTGGTTCTGCCACGAAATAATAATTGTCGTAGTTGCCACGATTAGCCGGCGCATTGACAGCGGCAACTTTTTCTTATTATCAGGAAGAAGTTGTTGTGCATCTCTTGTTTATCTTCCCCTGTCCCACAGAATGACTTAGGGTAGTTGAATCTCTTACTTCGCCACTAAACACTCTAATGTACATACTCGTAATGTACTTGTTAAATATAAACGATTGGTCACTCGACGTAAAAATATTTAACAACGCCTCGAACCTTTTGTTTTAATGTTATGACTGTAGCACGCGCCATTATCAAAACACGGGGCGTAAGAATCAATGCTATTTAATTTCGAATCTTTAAACAGCTCCTTTTTACCTTTGTAGTATATTTAGTACGATAGCGGTGTAAGAATATTCACTACTGCATATCGTCCGGTGGGTGTCGCAGAACCAATAGAGGGAAACAAACAAGGAAATGGGCATATGGATAATATAGTATAAATAGGAGATATTTCTCTAGTTTATTTATTGTATATACAGTGAAACCTGCATAACTGGGACCTTAAGGGACCTGCAAATTTGTCTCAGTTAAAGAGGTATTCCACTTACCCAGTGTCCCAGATATCTAGGTATAAATAAATATCTGTCTCATTTACATAGGGTTCCAGTAATAGAGGTGAGAATAGAGGTTATTTCAGTTATAGAGGTGCGATTATTAAATAAAATAACGTATTTTGTAAACATAATACACAAACATCCCAAACCAAACTAAAACTGGAGATCACTTTTACACAATTAGCTAAGTGTGGAATTTGCGGGTAGAATAAGAATTAGGACACAAAATATAGTCTCAGTAAAAGAGGTAAAACACACTCGCTGTATCAATTATAGAGGTAATTATCACGATAAAATCGAAGAGGTAATTCAGTGCTAAAGTGTCGGGACTTAAGCATGAGTTCCAGCTATGGAGGTTTCTCACTTATCCAGGTCCCACTTAACCAAGTTTCATTGTATTAGTAAAATGTATATATATATCGTATTTAATTATCATTTTTATTTTGTTTTTATTCTATATCGCTACACCTACTTCAAATTCACCCCACTCCATGGGTTGACTGGTAGAGAATGCCTCAAGGCATTAAGTAAGCCCTTTGTATTATTTTAGATTAAGGAATACAATAAAGAATAAATAAATAAATAAGTAACAACTAAAAAAACTGAACCGAAATGTGGTTATTTACGTGGTAGAGCCAAGCTGCAGCGATATTATGGTTGTAGCACGAATGGGTCGGCTCGAAAGGGCAGGAACACGCTCTCACAGAATACCAGCGTAAAATAGCAGCTTAATGCTGCTGTGTTTCGTATGGCGAGCGTAGAGAACCGGAACAATTTTAATTTTAAGTGGAAACGAGGCATTCCATCTTATTCCTCAGGGGTGACAACGCATCTGCATTTTGATTTTTAATCGGGGATAAATGTAGATGTCTATGAGCCACAGCATCCACTTACCATCAGATGGACTGTTTGCTTGATTGTCACCCTAACATTACACTATAAAAAATACGAATCTAATGCGTTTGTGCTCAAGAAATCAAAAATACAATCGAGTGCGATGCAAACAACCCATGATGGATTTCGAATATAATTGTAACGAGAAATTGGTAATGAAAAATTCGCCATATTTTTTTGGAATAATTTAACTAACACTGGGTTTACGTAAAATACCTGATTTCAGATTTTCAACCCTAATTTTTGCATAACACGGTCTAATTTACACAGTTAAACGAACTAATATCAGAATTCGATTCAACTACATAAGATGGTCGTTACACCCATCGAGTGTCCCTATCCCCCGACAAACGCGCTTCCGGTACAGGGGAGGGATCGGACCTCATTTCCGGGACTGGGAACCCTTCCAGGGGCGCGTTAGACATTTGACCATACTCATTCCGGTTGCTATAGTGATCGCCTATCGTCTTTTGTACAGGTGTCCTTTACCTCAGTCTGTTGTTTACTTTGGGGCTCATTTTTCAATCGCAGATAAAAGTTATCTATCAAATAAATTATAGCCCGACTGAATTTAAAGGTGAAACAATTGAACTATTTTATTCATACAAATGCATTTTTAATTTGTCCATGTTATATTTTAGTCGATGGATGCAGGTGGCTCAGGACCGTGCTTTGTGGCATTCCTTGGGGAGGCCTATGTTCAGCAGTGGACATGTGAAGGGCTATAATGATGATTATGATGATGTATATTTTATTCTATGAATGACTTTTATATGATGATTGCAAAATTGGCCCGGTCGTCGGCGTCTGTCTGTAACATTGAAATAACTGTCTTTTATTGAGGTAAGGGGGTTATTTGCAGGGAATTAAGACATGAAAAATTATTTTTGAAAATTATGTCTGTAGTCTGTCTGGGTAAATCTTTGGAATTGATGAACTGATTGTAACAAAACTTCACGAACCGTGTGTGATCAAGGATATTTTTTTAGGCGGCTAATATACATGAGTTATACAAGGATATAAATCCCGACCCGGAACAATTATTTGTAGTCCCGCACGAAATATTTGTTTCGTGCGAGATTCGAACCCGCGGCCTTGTAGCGCCGTGACCAAACCCCACAGTCACAGCCACTGCGCTACGGAGCCATCCATAGATATAACGATTGTTACATTACTCAAAATCTTAATTGCTAAAGCTTAGTGTCTAGGACATAATGCACAATCACTTATAGGTAATCATCGCTTACACAATAAAACATTAAATAATAAAGCAAAAGACTAAAAGCTACATCTCTAAAATTGTTTTTTTTTTTATATAAGTATATCTGATAATGAACTAATTATTAATTTTAGTTTATTTTTATTTTAGTTTATTTTTATTTTTAGTAATTATTATTTTATTAATTACTAATTAATAATTAATAGACTGCAGAGATGACAATTATATAAGTGACATACTGCCTGTTATGCTTGCGCATCACTGAGAATTATGTCGCGGTTACGCATCTTCAATTACATTGTGCTATAGCTTTGTCCGGTAGGCGTAACGAGCTATCAAGTGTTCAAGTTTCAAGTACGTAAGAGTTTTTTTATTATATATGTTTAATTGCATTTATTTGTGTCGTATTAGTAGATTTGAGTCAAAGCGTTCGCTGTAAATTTTTCCAGGGTTTGATCCCCGACAGCACGAAAGAAATTTGTAAGTGCAATTTTTGTCAAGACGCATTAGGGCAGCGCGGCGGGCATTTCCTTGCCCTAAAACCCTCTCAGAAATAAAAAGAGTCCTGTGCCCAGTAGAGGGACTTGTATAGCCTATTACTTTACTTTGTAGCAATATTCATATTCGTTTCAGATACAGAAGGGTACCTTATGCTGACAAAAATATTATGTGGAGGCGACGAAAACGTAAAACATCTTTGTACCTAGATAAAACGTTCGAGAGATTGTCAGTCATGTCATACGCCACATTTTCTATAGAGCGTAGAACATTGCAGAGAGGGCAAAATAAAAAATAATACAAAATATCGTGGGAATTATTTATTAATAATATATACATTTATAGGTTTTTATAATAAAAATAATGAACAAGCTGCAAGGTTCAAATGTTTTAATTTTTACCAATGGTTAATTGATGAAACTTAGTCAAGATCACTTCATATAAACTATATTTAATTAAAATTGACACTTGACCTATTTGGGCTTCTACTTACAACTCGGCGGAAATTTGAAAAGAAGATTTTGTCTGTTCTTAATTATCTTGTGTACACCATTTTTCACACAAGTATTGTTTACAACTGGCGTGGTTTCGAAAAGCGTGATTAAATGTCAGCGGTATATAATCAATTAAATACTGAACTTTTTGAAATTTATTTTTTGTTTATTTTTGTTATATCTTCTTAAAAACTGACGCCATCTCACTATTTTATTATTTGTTTTTTTTTTGTAACGCTTAGCTTAACTTAGTCTAACATATCCTTATAAGTTAGACTAAGTTAGATTAACTTTGATAAGTTTGTAATTTTTTTAATTTTATCACAATATTTCCGCAATAAATTATTACCTTTTCTACAGTGATTCTCTCCTCTTAAATTCGGCGTGACTGTAGGATGTTATACTGAGTCACCGTCAGTTACTAAGCGGCCATAAATCATTATATGTATGTATAGACATACATATATATATTTTTGATTTTAATATTTATGTTTTTTTGAATTTTGATTGATTTTTTGAAACCTGGTAAAATTATTTTTTTCTGAGTATAATGCCAGTTATGCTCTTTGGCTGGAGTTATTTTTTATTTTATGCTCAATTGCAGACAAAACAATATTGATTGCGCATCTCTAAAGCAAAATTTTACCTCTTCTCCTTCTAATAATAGCTCCTGCACCTGACACGGCAGAATAGTTATTATTATCTACAAGACCATTTGCAGAAACAGTTTTTGTTAACAGTTATGAGTGTAACATTTTTATCAGCTGCTTTGTTTATAGTGCAACACTTTGCCGGTTTCTGTACAGAAAATGATGCTGGCTTTGCAAATATGGATGGCCGCTACCATTGAATAAAATACCCGCTATGTTACACTTATTTACATAGAAACTTTAATTATTTAACTAAAATTCTAAATAGCATTTTTTACACAAGAAAGTAAACATTTAGATCAGTCCATCTTGTTTTTCACACACACATCTTGTGATAAAAGCCCTTTCACATTTATTTTACGCTCGAATTAATTTAATCAAAATGAAAATAAGAACTTTGGCTCTTTATAACTGATCTTTAAATGTAAAACACTGACTTGAAATTATATAATTATCGGCATTTTTTAAACTCATTGAACTTTTTTAAGATTGTGTTGAAACTCTACTGGTAAAAAAAAAAAAACAAATATATATATTATAGTTCTTGATGAAAATGAAGTATGTTACATCGCATCCCATCAAGAATTTCTAATGTAATTCTTGGTGTAAATCTAAGACGTGACAATAACTGTAAACAATAGAATAACAAAATAATGAAAAAATTTGTAAATACTTGCTTTATAACCTAATAAATATTATTTGACCGTAATAAAATAAAACAAGGTAGTCTTCGGCATGAAAGTAAAAATAAATATTTTCGATTATTTTTGCAATATCTAACAGCCGGATCAGCGCGCGATTCTGATCCATCTAAAGATGCTAAATTTCAGCAAGCACTGTCAAATTCAATAAGAGTGACCGAAACAACGGTTCTTGATATAGAAGAGTAAATAAATTATTTAACCTATAAAGTAAAATCACTTTATTAAAAATCAAAATAGCCCAATAGCTTCATTAACATGAGACACATAATTATTGTACGAGTGCTTATAATACTTAACATTATTTTACTGAAATCTCAGAAAGTTTTTTTTTAATAGAATAAGGGTGACAAACGAGCACAGTCCACCTGATGGTAAGTGGTTGCTACGGCCCATAGACATCTACATCCATTCTCGATGACGTATCAAAATGTAGATGCGTTTGTCACCCGTGAGGACTAATATGTAATGCCTCGTTTCCAGTAAAAAGGTTCTCCGGTTCTCTACACTCACCATACGAAAAACAGCAGGGTTAAACTGCTATTTTACATGGTATTCTGTGAGAGCGTGGCCCTTCCCCGGTCGAGCCGACCCATTCGTGCTACAACTATACCTACTACTAATATAGCTGCAGCATGGCTCTACCACGTAAGAAAAAATTGACGTTGAAAATTTAAGTATTTTCAGAAGCAACTTTGCAATTATTTTCTATTGAGCGAATTTTTGTGGAATCGTGTTTTGCGAACCGCCACCTGAAATACGTACAATTTTTTTCGATAACGACGTGGAATTACAAAACGATCCCCATGCATATTCATGGCTCTATTCAGTCTCTTAATATGGACATACCTCGGGATTCAGAGATTTTAAAAGTTTTCATGCGTAGATAGACCCATTTTACTGGAAAATAGGCACTCCATCTTGGTCCTCACGGGTGACAACGCATCTGCATATTGAGCCTTAATTGAGGATAGATGTAGATGTCTATGGGCCACAGCAACCACTTACCATCAGGTGGACTGTGTGCTCGTTTGTCACCCTTATTTTATAAATAAAAAAAAAGATAATGGAAGATATAATATTATATTATTACTGTCCCGTGTGAGGCAACGTTTATACTTATATACATATTCTCAACATATTTTTATGGTTGGTTAGAAAAATTATATCTAAATGCAAATTTTCAGAGGGTAAATTTTTTTTTGTGGATCTTGAGAAAGCATTTGATAAGGTTGTAAGGAAGAAAATGTGGGAACTGTTGCCGGGGTATGGTGTGGATGGTCAATTGCTAAGGGCTGTGCAGTCTCTTTACTGTAACTGTAAAGCCTGTGTGCGGGTAGGGCATGACCTGTCACCCATGTTTAACGTCCAAACGGGCGTAAAGCAGGGTTGTGTCATGTCTTTCTGGCTGTTCATACTGTATCTCGACAGCTGTTTACAGAAGCTGAAAGATAGTTGTTTGGGTGTGCAATTGGGTGACATTAAAGTAAATTGTCTGCTGTATGCTGATGATGCAGTGCTTATTGCACCATCAGAGGCAGAACTGCAGGCATTAGTCACGTGTATGAAAGAGGAATGTGAAATTAAAGGTCTCCGTTTGAATGCTAATAAAACTAAGGTTCTGATATTTGAAAGGGACGAAGAGAGAACGAAGTGTGAAATATGGGTAAATCAGGAATGTCTAGAACAGGTAAATGAAATTGTATACTTGGGGAGTGCTTTTAGCCGGGATGGAAGATGTGATTTAGATGTGGACAGGCGTGTCGCTGCCGGGAACAAAGTCAATGGTGCCCTGGCTGCGTTAGTCAAAAGGCAAGGCGTAGCGAAGAGTGCACGCCTTGCAATACATAACGCAGTGTTGGTACCGACTTTGTTATATGGCAGCGAAACCTGGGTATGCCAGAAGAAGCATAAAAGTATGTTGAATGCAGTGGAGATGCGATCTCTTCGTAAAATGTGCGGCGTTACCATGGCCGACCGAAAGCGAAACGAAGAGATTCGCAATATGGCAGGTTTGAAAGATGACCTTATCACAAAAATTGATAAGGGCGTGCTTCGGTGGTTTGGGCACGTTGAGCGAATGAGTGAAGACCGAATGGTGAAGAAAATATATAGCGCGAAAGTTAATATTAAAAGGTGTCGAGGTAGACTGAGACTAACTTTCGAAGACCATGTGAGCAAATTGCTCAAAGAGGGTAGG